CATTTTTGAATGAGAGGAATGTGAGCTATGGCGATGGGGGTGGGGTGTCGAGGGGCTGCTAGAGAGAAATGCCAAGAGAATTAGGAGAAAGGAAAGATCAGATGTAACTTGATTGATATTTACAACAAATGTAAAACTTGGTTATCTTCAGAGAACAATAGAATTTCCTGCGTAGATTTTACTTATCCTGGCCCATTTGAAGATAAACAGACCTGCCTTTGGCAATATTGTGAAAAGATGAAGACCTTTTATAGCTCATGGGAAAACACCCAGGAAAATCAGGAATGTGAGTTTGGGTTTTAACTTTACAATTAATTTATGGTGTGACAGCAGCATGTTGTTTAACCTTCCTGGCCTACAATATTCTCTTTTGCAAAATTAGCACAATAGACTATTTGTCTCCCACAAAATATCTGAGCCACTGGGAGCACAGAGATATATTTCTTTGGGATTATCCAGTGAGTTGTGGGCTGGGGTGAGATGGGGGAGTTCCCTCCCCCCTTGTAGCAGAGTGGCCTCAGGGCCTTGGCTGGTGAAATGCCACCTCTGGGCTGAGTGGGCAGCAGCGCTGGGGTCAGGAACTGACAGCAGACACCCATCAGCAATGTTCAAGCTCCTTAATGACAGCCCCCCAGGCAAAGGGGCTGATGAGGAGTGAGAGCAAAACCCACTGAAGACCACAAAGATTAGCAGAGGCTGAAAAAAAGAAACACCTTCACTTTCCAGTCTGCGAGACAAGGACAGGTGGTGAAAGCCAAGTGGTCAGTTTATCTCTGCCTTCAAGCCTTAGCTTCCTACTTACCATGTCTTCATGGTCTGTTCTGAGGCACTAGTAACCACTGTTAACCTGACAATCTGCTAAGTGATGGAGCCGTGGGTAAGAAGAGTTTTAAGATGACAAAGTGACCAAAATGTGAGATAATATAATAAACTGAAAGTAAGGGAGCAAAATCTGCAAATGCAAATAGAATGATTATGATAATAGTGAAAGGAATCGTGGAGAACAAAGATTTATCATAGCACCCAGGCTGACCAGTGTCCTGTGCCATGCAATCAACAACAATCACATGCTTTCTACTTATGAATAAATAGACTTAAGAAGGATCCTTCAGAACCTAACGTAATCAGAAGAACAGGAGCTTTTGTTCTCATTCTAGAATGGCATTTTTCAAAATTCAGGTCACAACTCAACAGGGTGTCATAAAATCAATTAGTGGTCATGAGTAGCAATTTTTCTCTCTGATGGAATAACGTAGAAGAGGAGATACCAGATTACTTCACACAGTAAGTTATGTGGAACTTTGGTGTGCGTGCACCCTCATTCGCGCATGTTGTGACATGATGTAAAATATATTTCTTACTATGGGAAGCTGTCCATAAAAATTTCAAAAAAAAAAATAGTCCTGGTGTGACATTAGGTGAGGCTCCCAGAAATTTGGGGGCAAACTTTGTGTTATGGTTTAATTGTGTTCCTCAAAAATATATGTTGAAGTCCTAATCCCCAAGACCTGTGAATATGACCTTATTTAGATATAATGTCTTTGCAGACCTAGTATAGGCTGATACAGTCGGGAACGATTTAAACATAAGGGGAATTTCACATTTGATTATATGCAATTTATTCCGGAAGAAACACTCAGTGAATGCTTAAAACGACACTAGCAGAACTGAACTGTGTAAGAAAACCCAAAATACACGCCCATACCTGAGACACCTGGACTAGCTACATCAGTTCACCACGTATTATGAGCCACACCCATCCATGTCCGTCATTACAACTTACCTGACTGACTTCAGAAAACTTTCCTTCCATGACTTCACTTGAACTCACAAGTTGTAACCCCTTCACAGGCAAAGTTCTCTGGCAAGGTAAAGTACCATATATATTGTAATAGTGACGCATGCATGTTCGTTTAGTAAGTGTGAAACTGCTATTTTTATCAGGTTCTCTCTCTCTCTCTCTCTCTCTCTCTCTCTCTCTCTCTCTCTCTCTCTCTCTCTCT